TTGCTTCTATAGAACTTGTAAAATAACACGCATGATGGAGCTCACAAACGATATGTAAAATTAAGATGAAGGTTTGTGATAAGGAATTTAGAAGGTGGATGAAAAATTAAAAATGTGAAATGAAAGGGGAGATTAAAAGGCAAGAGAAAAGAGTAAAAAGAAAAAATGGATTTCGAAAGGCAGATGAGAGTGTATGCATAAAATCAAATAAAAAATATAAAAGCTTAGTTCTCCGAACTCTCAAAAATGCCACTGAACAATGTTTGTTTTATTCGGTTTTATGACATTTCTTATGCTTTTTCAAAAGCTATGCACTGTAACTAATCTGTTTATGCATTTTTCCGCAAACTTCAGTTTTTGGCCTTCCAAAATACCCTTTAATAGTGCTTCATTGTTAATGCAATTTTACAAAGCTATTAGACTATTCATATGAATAGTAATGACATTTCATGTGATTTTGCTCTTTACTCTTAATTTTGAAGTACAACAAGTTGCCTTTTTCTTTACTGACTGCACTTCGACAACTCACTTGGTTCTTTACATTTTCTGCTAGGTATTTGGCACAATGGAATAGGGAAGGATGACAAGCTATAAAGAAACGAAAAGGAAAAGAGAGTAGGAAGAGAAAGAGGAAGTCAATAATCCTTCAAACTCCCAAAAATGCCCTTGAATAGTGTTTATTTTACTAGATTTATGACATTTCTTACATTTTTCAAAGGCTATATGCTATAGCTAAGCTATTCATGCTTTTTACCCCAAGTTTTAGTCTTTGGCCTCCCAAAATAACTTTTAATAGTGCTTTATTGTATGGGTTAAGCGTCTTTTTGTAGAATTTTACAAAGATCCAATACTATAGTTAGCCTGTTCATTGGTACCATTGTTAGACTATTCATATGAACAATAATGACATTTCACATTATTTTGCTCTCTAGTCCTAGTTTTTGGGCGAAACAAGTTTGCGCTCTTTTTTTTTTTTTTCAAACCACCTACCCTTTAATAATTCACTTAGTTCTCTACATTTTCTATCGTGGTATTTGACGTGGTGGGGGTGGGGAGGGATGGCAAGTTGTGGGAAAAAGAAGAAGAATGGAGAGTAAGAAGAGGAAGTCTATAATCTCTTCAATGTTGTAGGGGAATTCCCCTTGGCCTAATCCTTGCCATCTAAAGTCTCCTAATTTCCTTTACATCCGTACAATTTTCGTTAGTACCCTTCATTCTCTTCCTTATTTCTATTTCTATTTCTATTTCCTTGCTTTTAAGAAAAGATGATAAGAGTTTCTTGGGAAATGACGAGGAGACAAGGCAACGTCGATAGATGAAAAGGGGAAAAAGAAAGTTGAAAAGGGGGGAAGGGGGAAGAAAATGTAATACCCTAAAAATTTCTAAGTGTTTTCATTCTTATAAAGATTTAATTGGGAATATTTACAAGTTCGAGAACACAAACAATTTTAGAGGAAGCATGAACTTAAATTAAAGAGGATTAAATTCTAGTGTCAACTTACTTAGGGTTTATATGATTAGCGTCCAATTTGCAAAATTTAAAATTTAAAGAGAAGAGCCGGACAATTGATTTTTTTTTTTCCAAACACTAGCCCCTTTCTCACTCTTACTTTTTCTTTTTTTTTACAGAAAACTCTCCCTTATCTAAGAAACTATCATTGCACTTTCTCTTCATCTTTTCTTTGCTCCTTTTAAAAGTGATACGAACTATGCCAACCTGTGACAAAACCCGTAAACAAGACAAGGCACCAAAATCATTTCTAAGGCTAGTTCGAGAGGATGGAACCGCGACTCGTTATTGACATAAATCTAGGTTTGACTTTAAAGGATTCAATTCAAGTTCCTGTTGGACCGGTTACGAGGGCTCGAGCTAAGAAGTTCAAGGAAGCACTTAACAAGCTGATTCAAGAAATATGGACTCAAGCAAATTCATGGAGGCCCATTGAGGGAAGCCCATGTGAGCCTCAAAATTATATCAGCTTAATCCAAGTTCTAGAAAACTCTGTCAAAGCCAAACCTAATCTTTGCAAGTAATGGTCATGAACTTTGGGCATGAACTCAACAATCATTCTGGCTCAAATTTATTACTTTCCCTTTTGGGTTTTGGCTTGCATGCCAAGTTTTTCTTTCTTGGGTTGAATTACACAGTTTGCATCAAATCTACCGTAGTTGGCCACAAACTAATATTTCACAATATTCTTAGGTTATTTTAGCTTATTTTTACGTTTGTTGTGTTATTTGGGCTAAACATTCATTTAGTTGAAACCCAAATTTGTGGTTATGAGAGTTAGGACCTAATTTGTTAGTCTCCTATTTTGGTTAGGATTAGTTTTAGTTATTTATAGGGTTGCAACCCTAATTGTAAGGCTTAAAACCAACTATAGTCCTCGTTTTTTGTGAAAATGTTCATTACTATCCCTCTACTAAGGAAATGTTGAATGTTATCCCTTTACTTTTCTTACACCATAAATGTCATCCCTCTACTATCCTATTTTTGTTCAATGTCATCCTTAATTGGATGCCATCCATTTTGCTGTTAACTTTGACCGTTAATTGCCTAACGGTCAAATATTCAACTTTTGTTTATGAATTTTTCTAAGAGCACATATTAATTATACTTTTTTGTAATAAATTTGTATAAGAAAATATAAAAGTAAACATTAATTTTAGTGTTATTGTCACGTAAATAAATTTAATTAGACAACTAATAAATTAAATATTACTTTTTATTTTTTTAAAACTTTTAACTGGTACCTTAAAGATACAAATTAGAATAACCCTTAAGACACAAATTAGAATAACCTTTTGTTTATTAAGTTTTTATCCACCTAGTGAGACTAGTGGGACCAGTTTCTTTATTTTTTTAGTTTTGTATTATTCTTTCTGGTTTTAGCACCTAAATTAACGGAATCTGTTAATTCTCTGTTAAAATTGAAATAAAATACTTATAGGATTAATCCATAAAAATTAAAAATGTAACAATTTAATTCTAAAAGTTCAAAAATTATAAAAATTAGTAAACTAAAAAGAATTAATAGATGACTTTTTCACATATACTAAAACATATAATAAAACAGTATTAGATATTTATAATCAAATCGACCGATTAGTTTAATTTGGAGAAAGAATTTTGACTGAAATTAAGAAAAAATTTCTTAATTGAATTAAGATAGAAAATTTAAGAGACTGGAGAAATATAGCCAAGAAATTTTTTTTAATCTTAATTAGATTTCTTTACTTAGATTGAGTTAATCACTCGATCTAATTATAGATATCTAACGTTATTCTCATATATGTGATAAAGTCATTTACTAATTATTTTTAAGTTATTATTTTTTTTATTTTTTAAACTTTTGGAGTTAAATTGTTACATTTTTAATTTTTGATAATTAGTCTTATAAATATTTTTTTATTTTAATAGAGAGTTAACAAATTCTATTAGTGGATAAAAAATTAATTAACAAAAGTTAAATGTTTGACCATTAGGCAATTAACAGTCAAAGTTAACAGCAATGGATGGCATCCAATTAAGGATGACATCTAACAAAAAAAGAGTAGTAAAGGGATGACAATTATGGTGTAAGAAAAGTAAAGGGATTACCTTGAACATTTCCTTAGTAGAGGGATGGTAATGAACATTTTCACAAAGTACGAGGACTACAGTTGGCTTTTAACCCTAATTGTTAAACAAATCATTATTCATCAATATTGTGAGAAGGAATTCTCTCTGGTTCTTTGAACAACTTTTCGAACTTATCAGAATTATCCGTAGTGTTCATCCTCGACTTATCAATCAACCCTTCCATAGTTGATTGTGATGTCTTCTCGATACTAAGGTTCTTACCTCGTCATAGGTAACGGTCGCGGTTCTATCCTCTCAAATTTGTTTTGGAAACGGTCTTGGTGCCTTGTCTTGTTTACGAGTTTCGTCACAGATTGGTGTAGTTCTTATTAGTTTGGTATCAGAGCACAAGCTTTAAATCAAGTTTGCATATCTTTATTCTTTCAGTTTCTTCCATTAGAAAAAAAAAAAAAGAGTTAGTTTTCATTCTTTCCTTTGTTGTTCAGAACTTTGCTTGTCTTGATTTTCTGAATCTGTGTTG